TATAAGAGGAACTTTGTAACAATAATATTTGGACGATATTATAAGGAGAAATATCTTCATACAAATTATGAATGCGGTATACATATAAATTAACTGGGCTTAGGATAACAGACCCTTATCACTGCGTTGTCAGTTTCATGTTGTGCTAAACTCTTTTAATGTTCACTAAACATTCAGAAAGATAACAATTGAACAATGTTTTTCAAGATTGGTTATAGCATATCATTTATTTTTCATTCAAGGTTTATTTTATTTTTTAACCCCTGGGCGCTTTTAAATTACCATGTCTTTGTTTGCTTAATGCATTTATTCTGTTGTCCGTTGATGTTTTACGATTTTAGTCGGGCAAATCCTAAATCCGTAAAATTATTTCAAACCGTACTGACAATTTAAGTAACTAGCTGGCTATTTTACTTTAAAATAATCATCACCATTTTCCTCTTCACCCAATCTTTACTGAAGTTGGCGCAATGAGTAGCAATGCAAAAGGCTTTATCTGGCGTCTTTCTTCTATAGCCAGTCATCATATAGCACCATCATCAGCCTATCGCACGCCACTTGATCGATTTGGCTTAGATGCAATATATAAAAAAAATGTAAAGTTATCTTTCAAGAAAAAAAACCTAATTGGTCCCTTTGTTTCAAACCCTTCGCTTCTTCCGTCCGAGTTTAATAAACTATAAAATTATAAAAATAGAAATAAGTATATGTAACACACATTGCAACATTTAATTGCGCAATATAACATCACCAAGTGAACACAATGATAAGGGCAAACAGCCGTAAGCGTGTTTCAAGTTCAAAATAAAGTTTCAGAAACATGTTTTGCGTTTCCCAATGCTGTGTACACATAGATAAAAATTTCCGTTGTACAATGAAGGTTCATTGTTTACTCTTGTCAAACTAACAAAGTTTTGTGTAATAAATTTATAACAGATATTGACTAGAGGTGAAGAAGATATTTATATAAATTATAAGCTTATTTCAGTCGGCTGTTTTTTTATGAAGGGTTTTTTTAAGTGTTCCCTGATAAATATCGATTTTAGCGATAAGATGCTCATAGTATTTACTTACACAGGATATATGTACTTACCGTTTTGTCTCAATCAAATTGAAAGTAGGGACAATCCCACTTGACGACGGACGGCGTAGTGGTTTGAGTACCAAACTGCTATGCCTTATTTCGCGTGTTCGATGCCCGCTCGAGTCAAACATTTGTGTGCATGAATATTGAATTTATGATTTAGTCTGGGTGTTTCTATGTGTAATATCTATGTATTTACCAGACGGATTTAAGGAAACCTACCGTTTACGTGAAGTTATCAATTTTCTATTTTTCTAGATTGCTTAAAAGTGATGGTTATTAACACATAAAAATATTTAGAGTTTTTGCCACTTGGTGGAATAAAACAACCAATCTATGAAACAAATCGTCACCTGCGGTTGAAGGTCATTCGGTCCAGGAATATGGACCGATATGATCTCAAATACTTGAAGAGAAGAATGTACTCCTACTTTAAAGGTAGGCAAACTCCTGAGTTGCATTCATTCATGGACGGTAGTCACTTTAAATCAAGTGACCCGTCTGCCACATATTACACGAAAAAAAGTATTTAATATTTTAGAATTTCTGTGAAGATTGAAATTCTATGCAAACTTCTAGAGTAAAAAAACAAAAAAAAACGTTTAATATTACTTAACCGTTTTTTTTTTTCTATCATCATCAACAGCCTTTAATAGTCCACTGCTGGACATAGGCCTCTCCTTAGAAAGGAGGTTTTGGCCTACTATATAGTATAGGGTTTGTGTCCAGTTTTCCTTCTTTTTGCAGTGCTGGTGTCCTGCGTTGTTTTGCGCCCTTAGTCGACTCTTACGACACCCACGGGTATGAATTGGGGTAGTGACATTCCGTATTCTTAATCCGTCACTACACGGAAACTTTTTTTTCTATGCGTAATAATAATATTATTGGACTTCTGACACACAACGCCAGTTTCTAGTTTCAAACTAAGGAGAGCTTGTACTATGAAAGCAAGATCGGCTGATAGAATACTTTTATATTTCTTTTTTGTAAATATTGAACATAGAAAATGTAATGTCCTTTGCCTTAAACCATTAATATTTTTAAACCCTATACACTGCAAACTTTAATTTTATCGACATAGATGGCCACATTTTAGCCGTTTAAAGCCTTTTATCAATAAATTTGAACCGTAAGCCCACTTAACCCGTTCGAAGCTGGAGTTTCCCAGTAATTTGTAACCCTAAAATGTTCAGTGGATATTAAGTGGCTTGCTAACCAATGATTTTGTTCGTTGCCATTGTTATTGAGTTATAGCTCTTGTTTTAATGATATTTACGCTGTTTTGATCAGTAAAGGTTAAAGATTTTAAGGAAGTTCATTAGAGGTAAGTTGAATATTAGTTTGCTAATAAGTTAGCTTTAGACTGTCTTATTGCGCCCGGGATATAATGGTTTCTTCTTATTGTGTCTGACTTAATTGTCTGCGATCATGACAACTTGGGTTTAATAAATCCATGTTGCTCAAATTGTTATTGTTTTTAGAGTTCTGTACCTTAAACGGAAAAATGAAAAGTTTACGGAATCTCCTCGTTCTCTGTCGATCTTTCAAGGCTTTTTTTTCTAGAAACATGTGGAGGTATCAGATTGTAATTTAATTCAAATACTTTTTGTCTTCCCGCCCTTATACCTGTGAAATAAAGCATTAACCTATCGTACAGTGTGACGTCAGCGTATATAATAATATATAGAGATTTCTTTTTGTTTGAAAAAGGGCCTACATTTACTACGAGCATATTCTCATGAAATACACAATCATTAAGTGGCATAAAATAAAATAAACCAAATTATTCTGTCAATATTGACAAGCTAGCTGAATAATTTCAAGATAATGGATTAATACATCAATAAAGACAGGTCTTGCCATAGAATATTACAAACCAGGTTTTCCTTAATAATCAACATCCATCGTCAAAATTGTTCGCATGTGCCCATATTCCCGCCAACTTTTCCGAATGCTTTCTATAACGTTAATGAATAATAAGAAACAAACTTCAATAAGAAAAACCTGTATAAACACGTCCACAATATTAACGTTTATCGTGCCATCTGATAAAAACTTGAGAGGAAGCAATTTCCAGAGGACGCCGATGTTGCAATACCGCAGCTGGATGTGAGGGAAGCGACAACTTCCGCTACAGCCCCCTCCGTGATTCTTTAGAAATTCTTCCTTCCTCACTAAACGTTATATTAGCAGCAGAAAATAGAGAGTTATTTATGCATCTCTTTTTTTTCTGTAAAAATATGCTGGTCGTGTTTAAGAAGTCAAGTCAGAATATTATTATAATTATGCAGTGCGTATTATAAGACGTGTTATCTATATGTATAAGAAACCATAGTTCTGTTACCGAATTGTTTTTTTTTTCTCGTAGATAAAAAAAAAACTTATGCCAACACATAGTGTTCATGCGATTGTAAGATTATTTGTTTTTATTTGTGCATTTACGATATAACAAAGATTGTCAAGTTGTCAGGGTGTCCAAATTAGGACTTTTTACCAACATATAACAGTACTGTTCTCGATAAATACAAAAATAATTTTTATGTGAAGCTACTGCCCAAAGTTCATTCTAACATATTTTGCGAAACTACTCTAGGCATGGAGGATTTTAATCCTAAATCCTATAGATATAAGCCAATCCCTATATATTTTGGAAAATAAGAGTGTTGAAGCGCCTACGCAATAGGCGTTCGCAATAGTGCGTATTTTAGGACGTCTATTTACTTTTTTAGGGCGTTACGTTTATGTGCATATATTACATAGATGTCGGTACATTTCCATTGTGAACTTCAATCTGTACTGTTCAGCCATTACAAGTTTTAACACATCGCTGCTTTTTATTTCAAAATCTATTAGCCGGATAACAGTCTGTACAAACAGATTGGTTTAAATATTTAAATAATATAACAATAATATTCTACCACATTAACACAACGCCATCTAGTCCCAAACTAAGCAGAGCTTATGCTATAGGTACTAGACAACTGATATAAATACATATTTACTTTTTTTATAAAACATACATATTATACATAGGAACACCCAGATCAAATCAAACATTAAATGTTCATGCACACAAATGTTTGACTTGAGCGGGAAATGAACCCGCGACCTTTGGATTAGCAGTCCGTTACACAAACCACTACGCCATCCGGTCGTCAAATATTGTTAAATATATATACTAAACCGACTGACGTATTAGGGCCCGTTGTTTGATAAATAGTTAAACATGACTGTAAGTCAATTTAACTAATTGTCACTTGACCATAGTTAGCGCCTAAACAATTGGTTAAAATTGAAATATGTTGTTTGATGATATTTTTAACTATGGTTAAATATAACAATAGTCATTTGTGCTGCCACATTAATAAACTGGGGAGAAGGAAAATACATGTTGGGAAAGTAATATTGCACTGGCAACACAACGACATAAAAGTAAAAAATCTCGAAATTGACGTATCGTGACAGCGTCGCTTCGCTTGTGTTATTGTTTTTGTTTCGTCGCTCGTGGTAATTTTGTTGAATTTCGATCTTTTGTGAAAGAATAGAAATCAAAATGAGCAAGTAAGTACAAATTTATGTCCCACACAGAGATTCCAAGTAAACAATATTAACAAGCTACCTAATAAATTAATGTAATCCTAGTTATTTAATTTTGTTTCACTCGTAGTGTAATAAACATGAACCATTAATAAATTCAATATAATTCATTTGCAGTGAGAGGAGTAATAACTTTAGCCGAGAAGAACTCAACAAATTGAAGGAGTTACTTGAAAAATATTCAATAATAATGAATAAAAAGACAGACCATGCCAGTACGAAGCAGAAAGATGAAGCGTGGTGTCAACTAACGAATGAATTTAATTCTAATAATCTTATTTATCGAACGAAAAAACAATTAATTTATAAGTTCAACAACATGAAAAAAAATGCCAGAAAGGTATGCTGCATGCAATGTTATTTACAAACTAAGTTCAGTAGTTTGTACTTATTGTTTCATTGCACTCTAACATAACTGTTGTCTATCTATACTATGGTGCAAATTATTTAATTTTACACATATACTAAGATTTGTATATTAAGGTGTGTAAGGTAAATTTGGGTTATTTTAGGAATTATCACAAGAAAAAAAAGAACGCCGCTGTACTGGTGGAGGGCCACCACCACCCAAACCTTCCGATACCAGTGAATGGCTGTGCAGCATAATGGGTGAATCAATAGTGGGTCTTCCATCCACACATGATTCAGATTTCATTTTTGGTACTTTTTTATTATATTTATTCTTTCTTGAATCTAGTTATTTTCATGTTATCAATAGTGTTGTGTATAAGTACATGTTTGTTTACAGATAATAATACTCCACAGTTGAATGGTGAAGCAGCTCAACCAAGTGTTGCTCTTTCAAATATTGAGGAGGAAATGTCTATGGTGTCGTATACAGATGGACACAATGACGGAGTTATCCATGATGTTGCTCATATTGTGCCAATTCATGATGTTCAAGGTTAGAAAATAATTTATGTCAATGGTAAAATGTATTATTTGTAAATATAATGTACATAGTCACTAAAATTAAAAAAAAAACAATAAAATATTGTCCACTTTGCAGTAATTTGAAAATGAAGTTTTCATATTTGATCATTCAAGTAACAGCATTAATTATCTGATCTGCATAGGCAGTTTGAAATATACATATTTTGTATTTACCTATTTCAGAAAATGAAGAGACTCGGGAGACTGTGAAATTTGACACGAGCACACCACATACAATGCTGCGAAAACCTCTTTCTAAACCATTAGGTTTGTATTATGTATGACCTTATCATATATTTTCTCAATGAAATCACAATCAGCTCTTATGATTGATTTCTATTAATTTTTTCAGAATCATCTTATAGGAAAAGAAAATTGAATTTTACTCCTCTCGAGACAAGAAAAAAAATCATTACAGTAGCTCACGAAAAAGAACTCTACTTAAAGAAGAAAGGAGTGAGAGATGAAAAAATATTGGAGTTTGCTGAGGAGGAGCACAACAAAAATATGCAGCATAAGGAAGAAATGCATGCATTAGAAATAGCATTTAAAAATAAATTGCATAATCTCCTTCTAAAAAAAGCTGCAATAGAAGTAGAGATTGAGGACTAAAAATTAAAAAAATTAAAAGCAGAAAATAAATAATAATAATTCAATAATGTATTTTCAATTATCAATTAAATATCCCAATTTTTTTATTTGGTCATTGAATGCACCTTTTATTACATACATCATGTATTTTGAACAGCGGGAATCCATATGAGTTAGTTATAATTTTACAAAACGATAAGTTAATGATTAGTTTTAGATAAAGTGTTAGTGTTAATTAAACGAACAAATGCAGTAAAGTTAAATTATATTTAAATTCATTTTATACAGTGGCTTCATTTGATAACCTAACGAAATATTGTTGTATCAAATGGTTCCGATATGCTTGGTCTGATTGCCTTTGTGTTGCAATTTCTGCAATTGGCACAACTATATTCTGGTTATTCATTATAGTGGACTCTCGTGGGATGTTTTCATTGTTGTCAATACATATGTTATGCAATATGGCTGTTGCAACAATAATTGGTTGTATATTTTTAATATTAACTCGCAGTTTAGTACCAATTGCAGGAAACCTTCTTTTCCATACACCAAAGGTTCTTTCCACGACATTTCTCGTCCTTATCTGACTCTCATTGTACAGTCGTTCAGGTTGTGAGTGCGGGTCGGATAGTGGTGTCATTAAATATTTTTTTAGAGCATATCCACGATCGCCTACTAAACAACAATTTCCAAAAACTCCCCGGTCAAACTTCTTCTTTACTTCACTGGCGTTGAAAATAGTACTGTCGTGCACTGAACCCGGCCATCTTGCTACTATATCTAAAATTCTCAATTTAGCATCAGCAATTACCTGAGTATTCATTGAGAAGAAATCTTTTCTATTACGATACAGTTCGGAATTGTTGCCCCCTGGATTCAGCATTGGTATATGAGTACAATCTATAGCTCCTATAACACTAGGAAATTTTGCTATATTGAAAAATTCTGCTACTGTAGATCTGATTTCTTCTGTGTTCTGTGGCATTTTAATAACTGATCTAAATTTACAGCATATCAGTTTTGACACGTGGTGAATAATTCTGCATATAGTTGATTTATGCAATCCATACAGATCTCCAGAACACTGCTGAATATTCCCAATAGCGTAAAATCTTAACGTCAAAAGAATTTGATCTAGCGGACTCACGGCATGGTTTCTGTAAGGAAAAAATCATATATGTACCTACTTATTCATATTAAAGTAAATTCATATAAATAACAAGGGTGGTAGGTATTGCTTACCGATCTGTTGGCCTTTTCAAAGAATTCTTGAGTTCACTGAGTAACCAAAGAACGGTACTTTTAGACATTCTGTATCGTTCAAAGAAATCTACTTCATCCCAAAAGTCTAGCTGTAATATTCTATCCCGGAATGTTTTAGGACGGCGATTTAATATATAATCTACAATAATATCATCGTCAGAAGAGCTATCAGAGTCTTCAAAATGTCTCACAATATTTAAATTCATTTTATTTCACTCACGTTTCCACAAACAACCTCGTACTTATATGTCAGTTACCTAATTGTCAAAGTTAACTAGTCAAAAACGCATAGTTAACTTTTATAACAAATGGTCAAATTTTTTAACTATGGTTAGCTTAACTATTCATCAAACAACACAATTTTGTAATTTTTAACAAATGGTCAGTTTAACTAACGCGTTTTAACTATTAGTATGTTTAACTACCGATCAAACAACGGGCCCTTAGACAAACAGAATAAAAGCTCAACAATTTTCCCAATTTTCATGTTAATATTTAAACATAATTGTATCATAAACATTGAAAAATAATATTATTACTAGAGTTTTCCTTTTCTTTATGACATAGGAAGCAAACAATAAGACTAGTTACTTAGAAGTAAAAGACTACCATACCCAATGGACTCAAATTTTTCAACTCTGTTTTTCGTGGAACCATCTGAGAACAAAAAAACAAATATTTATTTTTCACTTTGCTTATTTACTATCCACTACATCATCGAAATGAAATAAATTACAGACAAATAATGCAATCGTTTAAGTAAAACATTTGGCGGTGTTACTGTTAGATGTACTTCAGGATAAGTACTTAATTGGTAGGTATTTTAAACTTAATAATGTTTCAATATTTAAACTATACCTGTTCTGTAGTACCCAGGAATGTATATACAAGTATATAGATAGCAATCAATATAATTTGAAATACATTACATTTGAGATATTATTGTATCAAAATGTAATAACAACATATAATATAGTAAGACCTCAAAAATTGGTAAATATTATAAATAGGTAAAATATTTATAATATTTACAATTTTTTTGATTTCTGATTGCGATTGTCAGATACATGATCTAACTATTAAATCAGCGATAATTACAATAGTCAACTATTTCTATAATGTACAGTACAGATACAATATTTTATGTATATCATTTACAAAATATCAATAGTTAATTAGTGTAAATGCGTGCTGTTGTCCTGCGTATTTTGATCCTTTAGTCGGTGCTTTAGCTTTAGTATGAACTAGCTGAGACCCGCGGTGTTACCCGCGCTTGTTGTTATAACCGCGGGCAACGCCGCGGGGCGAAGCTAGTCTAAAAAAAAGTAGCCTAAGTTACTCCTTATGTCATCAGCTATCTGCCAGTGAAAGTCCAGTCGAAATCGGTCCAGCCGTTCCAGACATTACCCGGAACAAACAGACAGACAGACAAAAATTGTAAAAAGTCTTATTTTGGCATATGTACCGTGTAAACATACATATGCATTTAGTAAAAAGCAGTTATTTTAATAGTGCAGACAGACACTCAAATTTTATTTATTTGTATAGATGTACTAGCTGAGACCCGCGGTGTTACCCTCGTTTGTTGTTATAACCGCGGGCAACGCCGCGGGGCGAAGCTAGGCTAAAAAAAGTATCCTAAGTTACTCCTTATGTCATCAGCTATCTGTCAGTGAAAGTCCCGTCGAAATCGGTCCAGCCGTTCCAGAGATTACCCGGAACAAACAGACAGACAGACAGACAGACAGACAAAAATTGTAAAAAATGATATTTTGGCATATGTACCGTGTAAACATACATAAGCATTTAGTAAAAAGCGGTTATTTTAAATTTTACAAACAGACACTCAAATTTTATTTATTTGTATAGAAAAAAGCGGTTATTTTAAGATTACAAACAGACACTCAAATTTTATTTATTTGTATAGATGTATAGATAGCAGTGGTGATATTCCGTATTTTCTAAACTGTAACCACACGGATAACCTATCATTTAAAAAGAATTGTAAGTGAATTGTTTTAGTTTTTCGTTTTAAGGTATGACTTTATTATAAAATCGTAGTGGATGGGGACCACTACGATTTTATAAAAAAGTTTCTGTTACACCTGTATAATATTTACCTAGTCAATGCTCACGACATTGACGGTGTAGGATTTTACACTCCATTGACACCGCCGGTTTAAGTGTGTCCTTAAGAGATACTTAAATGTGAAAATGTCAATCTCAAATTTTCAAGACGGTGTCAATGTTCAATCTTGACTTTGGGCAATCTTGCAACTTAATGATTGAGATGCTCATAATGTGGTTAAAAGTATTATTTTTATTATAAAACTATGTTTATTTAACTCCTTATGATACTAACAATAAAGACAATATAGTATTTTTAATAAGTAATTTGTGTGTTGTGCTCGTATGCATTTCCTTATTCATTTTACCTACGGTTAATTCGTTATTTGAATTTTAATATCAAGGATTTCTCCCTATCACTACACGGACAGTACAGTGATCTTAAGTAGCCGCTCTGTTGCAGAACCACAACAGTAAAGTGGATAAGCATAAAAACATGAAATTCAAGAGTTAACTCTTGAATTTCAAGTGTTCATGGGCGGTGGTAGTAAATCAAAGTCAGTGGACTCACCTTATTCTCTACCCCTATATCATCATCAGCACCTCGCAGTAAACTGCTGGACATAGATGAAATGGGATCATCTGTGTCCGATCCGCAAGGAGCCAACGCCTGAATGCGACTGCGATGGCCGGACCATGGACATGGCGCTCTATAAGCTGGCAGAATGCAGGGCTTGGGTGGAGCAAAGGCGTGGCCTCGTGGCGGCGATCGGAGTCGAAATTATTGTCGTCGTGGTATGGAGCGAGAGTGCGTTGAACTCAACGCACTCTCGCCACTGAGGCCATCTGTCACTCTGCAGACACAAGCCGGCAGACCTTCGGGAGCAGGAAGGGAACATCGGGGTTCCCACACAGGAAGGGGTCATCTTTAAGCCGTCGATGGCCCGAGGTACGTCGGGGTACCAGAGCTTTCCTTTCTAGGGGGTGGTTCCCCAGCTACTGGTACCTGGAGACGGCGTACGATTTTTGGTCGGTTCGAGTCCGACATAATCCCTCCACTGGTTGATAGTATCCGAGGTTAGATCCGCACAGAAAAAAAAGGTTAATCAAAACCCAATTGCAACATATCATTTATAATTTGTCAATCTACCCACAAAATCACATTATTACTATGACGCCGCTGTATCGACATTCTATCAAAATTTATATGGCAAATACGATGATATATTTAACAATTAAATGAAAGTTAAACCCACGGTAAACACTTAGTATGTGAGTACAAGCCATAAAAGCGAGGTATGTCGTAACTTTCTGATAACACACACCAAAACGCTTTTAGTTTGCAAGTTTAACGATTTAATCAATCGAATACTCGATTATTTGTACTACGTGATCTGAGTTTGATATGTTTGTGTTATGAACTAGATGGGTGATAGCAGTTCATCATGTGGTAATTGAAAAGGAGAAATTATATTATACATAAGTATAATAATAAATAACATAAATTAGTAATATAAAAAGTAATGCTACTTTTTGGTTACTAAGATACGCTTGACATAAGTGATAAACGCAATCTAATCGATTTTATAGTTAGTTTGCTCCTTTAGTCTGCTATTATCGAATCTAATATCTGATAAGGTAAAATTGACTTCTGAATTACATATGTCCAATCCATTAATGTTAATTTATTA